ATTGTCACCAAGGATTTCAAAGTAATTAAAGATCTCATCTTTTAATTGCCTTTTTCTTCTCAGTTGCTTCGGCATGGTATTTATATACATCTTGGACCACATCTCTGTGACATTTAATCTGAGATCTACATGAATATACACAGGAAACTAGCGAAAGTTGCTATGAGACTATTAGAAAGTCATGGTCTGAGATCGACAAAGTCGCTTCCAAGCCTAATGGCCTATCAGTTCTCAGTAAGAAATTCAAAACTTGCAGGTAAAATCAAATAAACCTTCGTATAAAATTAATAATATTCCATGATTAATATTGTTCATAAAGTTTTTAATTGTACATAAAATTACACTTTGTTATTCAGAAAACTGAAGAGAAGCCTTGACTTGAAGGACTACTTAGACTCAATATATTCTGAAGTAGCTCAATATGATGAACCCCCAGGTTACCCCCTTAGTACTCTTTGCCGTGCCATTGATGGAGCTGCCAAAGTAACTGATATCCTTGATCGGATATTCGCCGGAGTTGTTGCTCACAAGCCAAAGAGGACATGCTATGACATGGATGAATACAATCATCCAACTGACCAAAATCTGGGATGGAGGTGGCAGGTGATTAGATAATTAATTAATTAATTCATCAAAATAATTAAGCCTTAATTAATTATCCATATTTAATTAATTAATATCATGCTGCAGGTATGTAGTGAGATGGTGATGCCCATAGGCCATGAAAAAAATGATTCCATGTTCCCTCCTGCACCATTCAATCTAAACACCTTCACAAAGGCATGCAAGAGCTTGTTTGGTGTCCAGCCTCAGCCTCACTGGATAACAACTTATTATGGAGGATATGTATGTATACAAATAATTATTGAGTGTTCCGTTATACAGATTAGATTATAAAATAAAAATTATTAAATGAATAGACAACTCTCAATATTAGAGGGTCCACTTCTCATCTTTAAGTTTCTGTATTCTAAATTGCACGACACTTTAGATATTTATATATAGATTAATTAAATGTTTTTATTTTTTTTAATTAGGATATATATTGATCTAAAAATCTATTTCTCTGATAATTTTTGCAGGATTTAAAGTTAATTCTCCATAGATTTGGCAGCAACATAATATTCTCAAATGGCCTAAGAGATCCTTACAGCAGTGGCGGGTACAGAAAATTGAACAAATTTAATTAATTATTTATGAAATTTCATTTATTTATGTATTTTTCTCATATTGACCTAATAAGTTTAATTATGGCATTTTTAATCTTTGGTGATCATATATAGGGTGTTGGAGAATATATCAGATAGTGTTGTTGCAATCTACACAGTGAATGGTACGCACTTTTTTCCTCAAAAATCAAACTAGAGAGGGTTAATGTCTAGCTTCTTTGTGAGTCTAAAAGAACATGTGTACTTTGCAAATTTTTTAATTTGTGGCAGGATCTCATTGCCTGGATATACTTCCGGCGAAGGAAAGTGATCCAGAATGGTTGACGCTGCAGCGGAAAAATGAAGTGGAGACCATTGAAGGCTGGATTTCAAAGTACTACTTTGATTTAGTAAAGTTTCAGGTTCAAACTCAAGCTTGATTATACTAAGAGCTACTATATATGTATATATATAGTAGTGTGAAAATAATGATAGATGCTATATCTATATGAAAAAGAATCGCATATATCCCCTTCAATTCATGAAGGTACTTTTGCTTAATATTTGTAGGTGAAGCGATTTACAAATACTTTTAAGAGTACTAACTAGATTAAAAATATAAATATTATGTTATAAAAAAAATTAAGGACATAATAAAGGAAAAGAAAGGAGAAATTTATCAATGGAGCCTAGTTTGTGTTGGATGGTATGCTACCTCCAATAAAGAGCACTACATATAAATATACATAAAAATGTGTTTTGCATTTGGTAGCTAGGACAATAGGGGCACTTATCTATCATCCATTTATACCTATGGATAGTGGTGTCCATTCTGAGGTCAACCATAATAAATTGATTTTTTTTTTCCATGTTTAATTACATCAAGCATCTGCAGCACAAAAGGAGATCATATAATATGAGAAAAAGAATGTTAGCAAGCATCTTATAAAAACCTTAGCATCAGCCTTGTTGCCAGGCAAAGACAAAAAGTTTGCTTTAGAGCTTTTTGCAAGTGGTTCTACTTAAATTCGTCGAGTTTCGAAGTTACTGGAGTACAAATGTTTCATGAAATATTTTAATTAAATTCTAAAAAATGTGTCTTAATTAATAAGAATTTGATACTTTAAATTTAAATTTTGTGAAAAGTAGTGAAGTTACATTTCGTGGTTTAAACTTGCTGTTAGCAGTTATCTGCTATTAAATGCTATTATCGGCTACCCATCATCTCCTAAGTTTCAACTAACAAAGAAATGCCAACAGCAAGTTAATGCAATGGTTGTAAATTAAGAAAAACATCCAGTGGGCCGAAACCCCACCATGTCTTTTTAAATCGCTGGGCTTCGACTTTGTAGCATACCACATAAGCACATCAGCACATAACCAACGGGCAAGGATTAATGTGGATTTGGGCCTTGATAAACAAAATTGGACTCTTATGTATCATAAGTTCATAAATCATAATCCAAATGACCCAGTTTCCTTTTCTCTCTCGTGCCATTGAACCAACACTCTGATTAAATTAATAATTTAACTAGAAAGTATACTAATCATTTTTCAATTCTCTTCTTATATAACTATATAAATCATAAGTAGCATTCACAACCTTAACAGTAGCAATTGATAAAATGTGAATTCTAACTTTGAGAGCCCCACTTGTTGGTTGGCTTAAAACAATGCACTAGGAGTATCACAATAAATCATATTTATTTAGGGTTTTCTGAGTGTCTTCGAGCTGTGTTCAGCACATTTATGGAATATTAGGCAGAGGACCACACAATTTAATTAGATAATTAATTAAATGTGGCTAATCCAAATTCAACATTATTAATTAATCAATACCACTACTCATCATCCCATCTTTCGGTTTTTAATCATTTTCATTTACCTAATATTTATGCGTACTAAGAGGGAGAACGCTAGCTGCCTAGTAAGTGCAGCGTGCCCTAGGTGACTTCTTCATAATTTTTCTTAATTAATGGAATTCTAAAATTAACAAATATAAATTAATCATCATAATAATAACGGTAAGGCGTGCAAAGTAAAAAAATGACGGAAAGTTATTTCTACTGGTTAACTGTAGCATAAGAGATGAAGGCTAAACTTAAGTAAGGGTTTGTATTCACTCATAATTTGTAAACAATTTTTGTTTTATAAGTGAGGTTTAGTATTTAAGTCTTGTTCTAGTATTTAAAAAATTAATTTCTTTAAATATGTATTAGACCATTGTAAGGGGTGCACCTTTAAAATTACTTGGGGAAGGATTAATTTGTGAGCTATGCAAAAATTAATACAAGAACACCTAAATGTAAATAGCAATAAATAGCAAAAAATTAACCAAAAAATAATAATAATAAAGCCTTTGTAGAGTAATTGGTAAAGCTATTTGCAACAAGATAGTTTTAAATTGCATCAAATTTACATCTTATGGCTAGGGCTCGGAGTCTCATTCTTCCTCCCAAACCCTCTCACGTTTCAACTAACTAGCCTATTTTATAGAGAAAAAAAAAAAAACTTGTAGCACATTAGACAAGGAAAATAAGGAAAAATATATAAATTACTTCCTCTATTCCATTATATTAGATGTTTTAGGGAGGGGGATTTTGTTTCGTTTTATATGTCGTTTTGCGAAATTTAATGTTCCATTAAATACTCTTTTTCCACTTTTTCCCTCCACCAACCTAGTTGTGTCCCACCATCACTCCACTAGGTTAATGCTTCAGTTTCCTTTTCTCCTTCCTTTCCTCTTAACAAAGAACTTTGAAGTCTGAACAACTTCTCAACTACAAAATGTTTCCAAAGGACATGTAAGTATTACCTGTAGATCAGTCCATCAGATCTCCATTCTTCATCATCTCTAAAACCATACCATATAAACCTCCCAAATTCTCCGATTGTGCTCCACTTGTCATGAAGATAATTGCTAGTCTTTGTCCATATATTTATGGCTCTAGATAAGATTATATCAAATGAGTTCAATATTCTAAGTGAATTTTCATATAGATTGGATAATTTAGGTTGATAACTCCTATTTTACATGGTTTAGGATTGATTTTGAGGAAATTGTGTAATCTATTCCTATTTACCTTGGTCTCTTGTTTGCTTAATGAGATGAATTACTTAGGTTTGAATTAAAGCCATTAGAGCCATCACCAATGCTCTTCAGGTAAAAAGAAAAAATTTGCTTTACTAATGGAAGTCTACCTCACTCGAGTAGTGGTTCTCCGAATCTAAGACACTTGGGAAAAGTACAACTCCATGGTAATGTCATGGCTTTTGGGACGAAGAATATGAACCAAAGATGAATTTTCTTTTTGACCAAACAACAAATTAATTGGAAGTGAAGTTCAAGCCCAAATTCAAAACAAGAAAAGGAAGTGCAGAAGTTAAAGAAAGGGAATGTTCAACAATTGAGGACTTGTGAGAGGGAAGGGGTAAAAGTGATATTTTAACTATATTTAATTCTAAAATTAAGTGCAATTAATCATGATCTTAATCCAAGTAGAACACTTTAAAACATCAAATATAATGGTACTTGGGCTTTTAGGCTTTATGGCCTGCTGATTATATGCTTCATCGTAAGGTGCACTGCCAACCCTAGGACTAGGGTTTGAATTCCCCTTATCCAAAAATTGTATTCCATTAAAATAAAAAAGGAACAGAGGGAGTAAGTTATTTAAATTTCACATTCTAAACTCTCTGCTCATTATAGGATTAAAGGAGAAAAAGAGTTACCTATATCTAGTGCATTTTTTTGGTCACATCGATCCTCATGAGGCCAATATAAGCAATGAGTCTATACCCCACGAGCATGATACCCAAAGCTATGCTAGCAAGAGCTTGTCCTTCTAGCCCCATTAACTTGATTGATGGAAACTCTCCAATTGAGCAAACCTTCCCATAATCGCCACAAGGATAGGTTTCATTTGGCTTGAATTGAGACCCGATTAACAATTTGTAACTGTTATAGGTGATGGACCTATACTTTATCCATGCTATGAAAGGAGGGACATCTTGCGCATAGTATCCTCCTATCAATTCAAAGCTAAGCATGATTACATATCCAAGTATGGTTGTTGATTTTTGGTCCATCACCATTGCCTTAATAACAAGTCCTAGGCCTTGGGAGACTAGGACATTGTAAAGGAGGATAGAAAGTGTATGTAGGAAATGCAGAGCAGCATGCTTGAAACCTGCCATCTAGTAGGTTATGGTGACAAAAATGATTGAAAGCGCAAGCTCCATGGGGATATCATGGATCGTTCTTGCCATAAAGTAGGATGAAAGCTTATACATGTCAAAAGAACATTCTTTTTCTAGCATCATCCTTTCTTGAGGAAAGGTGAAAATAGCATTAAACATAGGAGAGAAACTCCAAAATCCTAAGTAATAAAACAACAATCCAATTTGTAAAATCCCAAATCAAAATTAATGAGCATTTCATATAATTTTTAAAAGAAAATTTAAAAAGCTATGGTAGAATATAAAAGTTATTTAAATGTCAAGTAATTGGTACTTGATCTTGTAAGTGAGCAATATCAAATTGCCACCATAGTAATCCCGCAAAGAAAGATACTACAAGGACCTGAGCAATCTTAAGGCCAAAGAAAGACTTAAGTCGTCTCTACTTTACTTTTCTCTTCAGTAAGACAATGAACTGTTACCACCAAGTGATGGACCAACGTGCACACTACTCAATTTCTACTTGATCATGAGGAGGTGCAAGGCTCTTAGTTTCTAGAAGCTCAGCCTTTAATTTCTTAGCAAGATTGGTCTTGTAGATAGATATTAGTGTTTGCTTCACCATACTTTGCTCTTCTCTCACTTCATGTGATGAAACACCTATGTTTGGAAATACTATATTCTGTCATATTGTTTTATTCAAGTAGGTTATTTTCATACACCGATCTGCACCCAGAGTATACTTCCTAAGGGTTGAAAAATCCTAATTTTCAAGCACTTGACAAGCGCCTGAAATGACCTATATAAATGCTGAAAATAAATGCCCAAAATCACCCTTCCTTACCCTTGCATACTTTGTTTTCAGGCATTATAAAGTGTCTACAAACTTAGAAAAATTCATTTTTAAAATCAGTCATAAAACAACAAAAATTCATTCATCCATATATTCAAAATATTTGTCAATTCATGCATCTATGACACTGATTGTCACCAAGTAAAGAAGTTCTATAGCCTGTAATTACTTCAAACCATTTCTTACCAATTGTCACCAAAACCTCTATGACACTAATTAATCTAAGCAATGGCATCCAAAAACCAAAATAATTAACACAAGATTACTACATTTGGCTTGAAGAAGGGTGGCTTGAATAAGATTGTTGGCTTGAAGAAGGTTGGCTTGATGAGGAAGGCTGGCTTGCTGAAGAAGAAGAAGAAGAAGGAGGAGGAGGCTGATTTGCATTTACCCTAGCAATAATGCTAGATAGATCTTACAATTGTACATAATTTGACAAAAGTTAAGAATACTTTCAATTAATCTACATTGCAAAACCAAGAATGATCAATAGAACATGGAAAAATGTAAAATAGCAGAAGATACAGAAAAATGATCCATAATTCATAATTTCTCCTTCTCCCATCATATTCTGCATTTTGTGCTAAGAGATCATGGTATTCATGTCAAAATTCCACAAAGCTATAAGGCTATCTATCAATGGCAATAGAAATAATAGATGAAATCCAAGGACAATGCATGAAATCATCAATCATGCTAATATAACTCAAGTCTGCATGTTGTTAGCACATAGCCTAAGAATGCAAAAACACAAAAATATAACTATCCAAGCATGTGTCCACATATAAGGAGTGGTTCTTTAAAATCAGATGAAATTAGAAAAGATTGTAGCACTAAATTAATCAAAATAACTCATACAAATAAAAAAAAAAATGAAATGAAATGATCTTAAGACATAACATCAAAGCCAAAAGTGAAAGAGATGAAATTACTAATTGGAAAGGGAGGAAAACAACAGATTGGCGAGCAAACAAATTCATACAACACAGAATTCAATTAATAATGATCAAAATTGAGAAATAGACTTACAATTTGACAGTTCATTCTCCTTAGCAGCTGTTGTTCTCCTCAACTTCGCTGCTTAAGCAAGTGTCAATGGCCTACACAAACATAGAATTCAACTCACATTAAGCTTACATTAAATAAGAAAATAAAGGTCCAAGCCATAATGATGCTATCGAACTTAAAAAATAAAGGAATAACCAGCAATACATTAATGCTGAACTTGGAAAACATCAGAAAACCTTTAACAGCAAAACCCATTTGGTCTTAACTCGGTTAACTACTACCATTAAATAGTAGTTTAAGACCCATTGGCCTCAGCCAAACATGTGCCAAACCCATCATTTTTGAATCCATAAACTCCGGGCGTAGATTAGTGTATGAAAATAACCTACTAGAACTTTGAAGTCTGAACAACTTCTCAACTACAAAATGATTCCAAAGGACATGTAAGTATTACCTGTAGATCAGTCCATTAGATCTCCATTCTTCACCATCTCTAAAGCCATATCCATATAAACCCCCCAAATTCTCTGATTGTGCTCCACTTCTCATGAAGATAATTTCTAATCTTTGTCCATATATTTATGGCTCTAGATAAGATTATATCAAATGAGTTCAATATTCTAAGTGAAGTTTTCATTTAGATTGGATAATTTAGGTTGATAACTCTTATTTTACCTGGTCTAGGATTGATTTTGAGGAAATTGTGTAATCTACTCTTACTTACCTTGGTCTCTTGTTTGCTTAATGAGATGAATTACTTAGGTTAGGTTTCAATTAAAGCCATTAGAGCCATCACCAATGCTCTTCAGTAAAAAATAAAATCTGCTTTACTAATGAAAGTCTACCTCACTCGAGTAGTGGTTCTTTGGATCTAAGACACTTGGGAAAAGTACAACTCCATGGTCATGTCATGGCTTTTGGGACGAAGAATATGAACCAAAGATGAATTTTCTTTTTGACCAAACGGTAGATTAATTGGAAGTGAAGTTCAAGCCCAAATTCAAAACGAGAAAAGGAAGTGTAGAAGTTAAAGAAAGGGAATGTTCAACGATTAAGGACTTGTGAGAGCGAATGGGTAAAAATGATATTTTAACTATATTTAATTCTAAAATTAAGTGCAATTAATCATTATCTTAATCCAAGTAGAACACCCAAAAACATCAAATATAATGGCACCTAAGCTTCTGGGCTTGGGCTTCTGAGCTTTATGGCCCGATGATTATATGCTTGATCATAAGGTGCACCCCTAACCCTAAGATTGCGGTTTGAATTCCCCTCTCCAAAAATTGTATTCCATTAAAAAAAATGGAACAAAAGGAGTAATTTATTTAAATGTCATATTCTAAACTCTTCTCATTATAGGTTTAAAGGGGAAAAAGAGTTACTTATATCTAGTGCATTGTTTTGGTCACACCGATCCTCATGAAGGCAATATAAGCCATGAGTCTATACCCCACGAGCATGATACCCAAAGCCATGGTAGCAAGAGCTTGCCCTTCTAGCCCCACTAACTTGATTGATGGAACTCTCCAACTAAGCAAACCTTCCCATAACCACCACAAGGATAGGTTTCATTTGGCTTGAATCGAGACCCGATTAGCAATTTATAACTGTTATAGGTGATGGACCTATACTTTATCCATGCTATGAAAGAAGGGACATGTTGCACGTAGTATCCTCTTGCCAGTTTAAAGGAAAGCATGATTATAGATCCAAGTATGGTTGTTGATTTTTGGTCCATCACCATTGCCTCGATAACAAGTCCTAGGCCTTGAGAGACCAGGACATTGTAAAGGAGGATAGAAAGTGTATGCAGGAAATGCAGAGCAACGTGCTTGAAACCTGCCATCTAGTAGGTTATGGTGACAAAAACGGTCGAAAGGGCAAGCTCCATGGGGAGATCACAGATAATTCTTGCCATAAAGTAGGATGAAAGCCTATACATGTTGGAAGAAAGTTCTTTTTCTAGCATCATCCTTTCTTGAGGGAAGGTCAAAATGGCATTAAACATAGGGGAGAAACTCCAAAATCTTGAGTAATAGAACAACAATCCAATCTACAAAATCCCAAATCAAAATTAATGAGCATTTCATATAATTTTTAAAAGAAAATTAAAAACGTTATGGTAAAATACAAAAGTTATTTAAATTTTAAGTAATTGGTACCTGATCTTGTAAGTGAGCAATATCATATTGCAACCATAGTAATCCCGCAAGGAAAGATACTACAAGGACCTAAGCAATCTTGAGGCCAAAGAAGGACTCAAATCGTCTCTACTTTACTCCTCTCCTCAGTAAGACAATGAACTGTTGCCACCAAGTGGTGGACCAACATGCAAACTACTCAATTTTTGCTTGATCATGAAGAGGTGCAAGAGACTCAGTTTCTAGAAGCTTAGCCTTTAATTTCTCAGCAAGATTGGTCTTGTAGGTAGATATTAGTGTTTGCTTCACCACACTTTTCTCTTCTCTCACTTCATGTGATGAAACACCTACGTTTGGAAATACTATATTCTTTCATATTGTTTTATTTTTCTTTAGCTTCAATAAAAAAAATAGGTACTAATTGGTAAACCTCCTAATTCATTTCCAAATTCTTAGATATATTAACATTGGAAACATATGTCATCTAATACATTAGTACATAGGTTCCATGTTTTACGCTAGAAAAGTATAGAACTTTCCAAAATTGTCAAAGATATCTACATTGGAAACATATGTCTTCCAATACATTAGTACATAGGTTCCATGTTCCATGTTCCATGCCAAAAATTAATCTCAATCGGTGGTAGCAAATCATCTCCAATAAATAAGTACAAAGTTCAATGTTCCATTCCCTAACAAATCTAGAAATTTCCCAAAATTCTCATATATATCTACATTGGAAACATATGTTTTGTAGTAGTGCTTTAATTTCTCATAAAGATATCAACAAGTCCCAACCTAATAAATTACTAAAAATGAAGAATTAACTCAACTAACACATTTAAAGATGATTTAAAACCATTTACCAAAATTTTCCTAATTAATTTAATCACACAAAATCATGAAAATTCAACTCATGATTTTTTTTTTTGAAAAAAACATGGTTATTAGCAAAATTACTATTAGCAAGATCAACTAGGAAATTTGAGGGATTCATTGGAATGGAAGGAGAATATTAGATGCCATGGAAATAATCCATGGCCAATGATCCCTCACTGAAATACAAAGGATTACCTTCTAACAGAAGCTACCTTATGAAACATGTAGAATAGCCTACTGGACAGTTGGTGAATTGTCATCACCACTGTTCTCTTGCCATTTGCCAACTCCCACAACGTGGACACGACTTTTGTTTGTTTCTAATTTCTAATTTCTTTCTTTCTTTCTTTCTTTCTTTCTTTTTTTTTTTGTTTTTTAATAGTTCGAGTTTTGAAGAATTACGTGTATGCATATAGGTGGGCATTGGGCCTTCGTGGCCGTTGCCTAGTTTTTGTCACCATAACCTCCTAGATGATGGACATGTACTTTATCCATGCTATGAAGAGAGGGACATGTTGCATATAGTATCCTCCTATCAACTCGAAGGAAAGCATGATTATGGATCCAAGTATAGTTGTTGATTTTTGGTCCATCACCATTGCTTCAATAGCAAGTCCTAAGCCTTGGGAGACTAGGACATTATAAAGGAAGACAAAAATGTGTGCAAGAGATGTGCAGTGACGGGCTTGAAACTTGCCATCTAGTAGGTTATGGTGACAAAAATGGTTGAAAGGGAAAGCTCCATGGGGAGATCATAGACGGTTCTTGGCATAAAGTAGGATGAAAGCCTATACATGCTGGAAGAACGTTCTGTTTCTAGCATCATCCTTTCTTGAGGGAATGTGAAAATGGCATTAAACATAGGGGAAAAACCCCAAAGTCTTGAACCACAATCCAATCTACAAAATCCCAAATCAAAATTGATGAGCATTTCATGTAATTTTTAAAAGAAAATTAAAAGAGCTATGGTAGTAAATAAAAGTTACTTAAATGTCAAGTAACGGGTACTTGATTTTGTAAGTGAGTAATATCATATTGCCACCATAGTAATCCTACAAGGAAATATACTACAAGTACATAAGCAATCTTGAGGCCAGAGAAAGACCCAAATTGTTTCTCCTTTACTCCTCTCCTCAGTAAGAGAGTGAATTATGGCCACTGGGTGGTGGACCAATGTGCAAACTGCTTACTCGTTCATTGCATGTGCATTATACGTGCGTTGTACGTGTGCACCTAAAAGAATAATAAATCACACGTACAACACACGTGCAACACTCGAGCAAAAAAAAAAAAAAACTAGTTTTACAATAAATCAACAATTATAATAAATCAGTATTATTTTCAGTGAAAATTAATTAAAATTCATGCATACCTTTAATGTAACAGGTTGATTTATTTTGCTAAAAATGGTTGCAGTTTGTTGTTGTTGTGATTGAATAGAATTTTGGTTTTCGATGCCTACCATCTCTTGTTCCATATGACAGCCACACCAGAAAACCCTTTTTCTCTTCCTAAATGATCTTTGATCTCCTCTATAAATTTTTCTTGAAAAATCTAGTAATATTGAGAGAGATACATATATAAATTGATCAAATGGAAAGTTGCTGGTGCAAGAAGTAAAATTAAAATGGAAAACCAACTATGCATAATAAAAATGGCTAAAAATGGTGTAGAAAATAATGTTATTCATGTAGGAAAAGGAACACAATCAGTCCCTAAAAACAATATTCATTAATAAATATTGTTATTCATGCATATCCATTTTTTTTCTTTGTTTTTAGCAAAAATAAAACAAAAAGAAAATAAAAAAGAAAAAGAAAAGAAAAGAAAGGCACAAAGAATTTTTTTTCCAACTCAATTCCACATAAGCAGGAGTAAATGAATATTGTTAATAGTAATTTGAGAAAATGGGAAATAACTGAATAAAAAAAATTAGATATAGTGAGAAAAGTAATGTTTGAACTAGTTCTAATCCAATTTAGGGTTTTAAAGAATATATTATTAGTTTATAGTGTGAACAAATAATATGAATACATAATCTGAATATAAAGTGATTTTTTTGAATAAGGTTCAAGATTTTATAGAATAATAAAATTATATAATTTTTAAATATAAACAAGTGAAAACACACAATATTAAAATGATATAAATTTTTTTAGTTTTGTTTCAGTATAACTTCAGATGCCAATATATAGTTTTTATATTGGACATTTGGCACCATCTATATATATATATATTAAAGGAGAAACCAGTGAAGATAAGTATTGCCACATGTCCTGTTTATAAGCCTTCCCTAATATGCTCTTTTATTGCCATGTGTCAATACTGTCCTTATTTGGTAAATGTACCCATTTGCCTAACTTTTTTTTTTTCTATTCATTAATTTCAGCCTAATATTTTTTACCATCCTTCATTAAATTTAATTCACCTCCCACTTTTATTTA